CTCAGGGAAGGCCCACTGCCACCTACCTAACCTTGTCCCAGAAACCCATTTCAGTAGGTACTTATTGAGCACTTGTACGCATTGCTTCTAATGGGCTTAGTTGGAAATACAAAGACATCTAGGCCAGGTAGTCTGTACTGCTAACTATGGCTGACACCCGTGGAGCTTCTTCCATGGCTTCAATCCATTAGCCTTTAAGCCGGCCATGCAACTACTTTTTCCAAACTAGGGCCTATTTTAGTAAAAATAACTGTGCAAAGTTTATAGATGGCAATGCAGCTCAGTATATCCCCAAAGTACATTCCCACTCTTGCACTCACTCGGGCTAGTGCTTTGAGGTAACAGGACTCCTTTTCTAAAATGTCAACACCTTCTTCAGAGCTACCCACATTGATCCACCAGTTTAAAAGGAGTTTCTTACAGTTCCGTGGTTTAGCTTTCTCCAGACTAATTTCCTTTGGATCCTTCATGTGTTCTGTCCAAGGCGACTCTACAACTGGCTCTCATCTTCAGACCTCCCACCTCTTCAAGAGCAGCCAGTTTTCCCCTTTCCTACAAAATCTGTGTCACAAAACCCACCAATGAGGTCAGAGGAACAAAGAGGGCTTCCAAGAAAATCTGCTCTTCAGAAAGTCTTGGGGGCAAATATGGCAAAGACTGCCAGCAGTTTTCCCAACACAGATCCTCTTTTTCCGTGTGCAAAGGAGCCCTGGTGGCGCTGTGGTGAAGCACTTGGCTGCTATTCAAAAGGTCAGTGGTTTGAATCCACCAGGCTCCTTCATGGGAAAAGTGTGATCATCTGCTTCTATAAGGACTACAGACCTGGAAACCCTACGGGGCGGCCGTATTCTGTCCTATAGACTATGTGTAGGTATCGACTTGATGGCACAGGTTCTTAGTTTGGTTCTTCCTTGTGAAGAGGAGCCTAACTTTTGTTCGGGGCAGGATTGTGGGCCCACAGTTATGTTTCCCAGTCTCCCATGCAGCTAGAATTGCCCACGTCGCCGTGTTAAACAGTTCCTCCCACTTAGATGTTCTGATGGTTAGGTCGGATGTAACTTACTGCTTGCTACACCTGTGGGAAAGTAGAGATGGAGTTCAACCTTCATCAGGACACACTCTAACAAGGTCTGCTTAGGGATGTGGCTTTAAACAATTTTTTTTAATGAGAAACTGAGAACTCTTGTCCAATTGCTTGAATTCTGCATCAGGCTTCTGGGACCAGTGGTCCATGTGGGCTGCCCACCCTGGGAGCTGCCAGTACTCTGTCATGCTCTTGCCAACCTTGGATCCACAAGACCTTTCACCCACCACCCTGTGCTCTCCCAGCTTCCTGCTTCATCGACTAGCAACTGTGTGAGTCTGGAGGCACCTTGAGCTAGCATCTAATCGATGGACTTGAGTTGGACTATACTGTACCACCCCTTACTATACATTTCTTTCTTGATATAAAGTTATTTCTTATACATATATGAATGTCTCTGATTTTGTTTCTCTGGAAAACTCCGCCTAACACAGATGTAGTAGGAGCAACTGAATAGAGCTTCAATTTGGGCAAGTCTCCTATTTCTTCACTTCCTCCTACCTGAGACAACCGTGAAGTGTGAAGGTAGACCAACTATCACTGTGCCCTTCGTGTGGGAACTGAAAGGTCAAGGGAGGGAGTTAGGGAGAGTCTGGGTTTAATGGCAACAGAGAGCTCCCTCTGAGTCCTGGACTACCTATTTCTGGGCTTTCTTATTATGGGAGAAAAGTACAACTCAAGCATGTTTACCTCCTTCCTTCTCAGAATTATAGTCATGGAAGCTCCCAGAGGCAGTTCTCCTGTCCTACTAGGTCAATCTGAGTCAGCATATGCTTGATGACAGTGAGTTTTTTCTTTCCCCCCTCAGGTTATTTACATCGGTGGTGGGGCTGGGAGGCACTTTAAGGGGTTTGTTAAAAATTCAGGTTCTTTGCTCTAGGCCCAGAAATTCCTATTCAGCAGGTCTGGGTAGAGGACTCTAGTTTAAAGTAGGCCCTTGAATCATTCTGATGCAATCATCTTTGGACTACAGGTTGAAGTCACCTGGGCCCAGGAGTCCTGAGGTTAGCAAAGGTATCCGGTGAAGGGGAGCTTGATATTCAGACGCCCCACCCCAAACAGTTGGGCAACTGTGCATGTTAAGCAGGAATAACAAGTTGTTCAGCTAATTTGCAGTTTGGGCGAGGAAGGAGATTTCTACTGGTCCAAACGCCCATTTTATGGGCTGGGGAAACCAAGGAACTAAGTGTCCAAGTGAGTCATCCAAGGTCACACATTCGGTCAGTGGCAGAGCTGGAAAAACACCTGTGTTCTGGAGTCTTGGTTCAGTGCTCCTTTACTTCCACTGGCCAAAGCTGGAGCCATGAGCCTGAGAGAGTCGGTCTCCCTCCCCATTTCCTCTCTGCCGGGCACTGCAGGAGGGGGCTGTACCGGCCTCCCTGACTCTGTTCCCTCCCTCCTTCATTGTGTAACAGCCACTGGGTCAACTAGCCCTTCAGCGAATGGACTCCCTTCCCAGGTTCACGGAAGAGGCCCTCACCCTGCAGGTGGAAGAGTGACAACTAGGAGGAGCTGGGATCTCTCACGGAGCCATCACCTCAAGCCTGATCTGCTTCCAGATCGCTCTTCACATCAAGAGAAAATGAACGAGGTGGTGCTGTGGGCTAGGTGTTGGACTGCCAACCAAACTTACCAGCTCCTCCATGGAAGAAAAATGAGGCTATCTGTCCCGTGAAGATTCACAGCAGCCTTGGAGACTCTACATAGGGTTGCTATAAGTCAGACTTGACTTGATGGCAGTGGGTTTGGCTTATGATGTTCAACTGCTTCCTAGTGGTTTGGATGCTCTGTGACATACAGCTCAACTCAATTTCGATTATTTATTAACCTTGAATGATTAAGGCCAGTTTAATTAGAGCGTAGGAAACACCAGTGGAAACACACACACCTCTATTTCACCCCCCACCCCCCACCACACACACACACACACACACACACACACACACACACACTATGGCTGCCAGGTAGGTAGTCACAATTCTCAAAATATGGTCCAGACACCAGAAGTGGATTAGGCATTGGTGTGCAGTTGGAAACCACCAGCCACTTCCTGGGAGAAAGATGGGGCTTTCTGCTCCCATAAAGATTTACAACCTTGGAAATGCTCAGGGGCAGGTCTACTCAGTCCTATAGTATTGCTACCTGTTGGAAGCAACCAATGGCAGTGAGTTTGTTTTTTGTTATCCCAGACTTACTGAATCAGAAATGCTGAAGATTGGGTCCAACTATGTACAGTGTTTTTCGAGGTGAAATTCATGTAGCAGTGAGCCATTTAAAGTGAACCATCCCCAAATCACAGCCCGTCACCACTAAGCAACTTGCTCCTGCCAACCACCAATCTTGGTTCTGCCTGTGGATTTACCTCTTCCTGAGAATCACACACATTGTGGTTGTATGCCTGGCTCCTCTGACATAGCATTCTGCTTTCCAGGTTCATCCACACTGTAGCATGTCTCGGCATCTCAACCCTTTGCTTTTGGCTGAATAATATTCCACTGTGTCGATCATTCATTGATGAGCATTTGGGGAGTTTCCACCTTCCAGCCATCTGTCCTAATAAGCCCTGCAAGTGATTCTGGAAAATGGTAAAACTTTGAGAACTCTTGATTTATCAAAGACTACAGAGAAATAGAGCCAGAGCCAGTCCGGATCAAACCATTCCTGGACACCTCTGGACTTCCTCAGAAAAATCCTGTTTCTTGGCTGACCTGGGGTTTCTGTTACTTGTACCTGAACACAGTATCCATCATCGCTGCTGCTGAGAGCACTACCTGTAGAAGGGCACAAAATACTGCTCAGCAATGCTCAGTCCACTTACATCCGGGGGAGGGACGAAAGCAGTAATGGCATCAACACCACCTGCCCTGAGTCAACAAGCGAGAGGATGAGCAGATTTGAAGGCTTATCCGGGCACTTTCCTGATGACTCATCCAAACAAAATCTTGGGGTTTGCTTGGAGGTTTAAATGAATTTCCAGTTCGGAAGAGACCCTCAGGGGGGCATCTCTGATGTGCCTAGACTTGCCACCTCTTGATTTGGCTCATCAGTCCCCTGCTGAAGGGCTTTCCCCACGCTTGCCTCCTGCGGCTCCTCTTCAAGTCGGCCCGAGCCTGGCCTGTCTTCTCAGTGGTCCTCCCCAAGGGTCCCGGCTCCCTGGGGCTGCTTTCTATTTTCAACTTCTGGGATATTTGTGTCGAGTTGGAAGCAGTTTGTTATTTGTGAGCTTCAAGGAGGCCCTTGTTTATTGCCTTTTCAGGCAATCTGTGTCAGACCTTCCCTGAGAGGCAGGCAGGGTAGGCAGCCCAACTTACCAGACCATGTAAGGGTCAGACGGAGAGGTAGTCTGAAGCCAGCCTGGGTCCTCACTCCTCACGGAACCATCTTTTTGTGTTCATAAGATGTTTCCTGAGGGTAAGGGGCGACACCTGACCAGTGTTGTTTCCTCACGAGGACCCCCGAGACAAGAAAGCTTCCAATTGCAGACTGCCTGGCACGAGGGGGCCTATGAACAGGGGCTGGAGGTGAGGGGTCAGAGTTGTCACCGCCACAGGCCGACTGAGGGTGCGGAGAGTACATAGGAGAGCAGGTATCACATCCACAGTGCACTCATCCAAGGTGCCACGGCCACCCAATGGCTGGGGCAGAGTTGCCCACCTAGGGAGCCCTCGTGGGCATGACGCAGGCAACAGACTTCACTGACTTCAGACCCATTCTCCCGTCTCGAGGTTTCAATCCGCTCTCCGTTCCTGTCTGCCAGCCGGAGGCCCCCCCCTTGAGGACCTGCTTGTGGTGCTCCCCCTGCCACGAAGCTGTCTCCACCCAGCTTTCTATCTGGGCAACCAGTGCCCTGAGAGGGGCAGTGCCCGAGGTGGGCAGGGCCACAGCACTGACCAAGACAAGGTCCAGAAGGTACACAGGCTTTTCATAACAACTTTATTCTCAAAAGGTGTGTGTGTGTGTGTGCGTGGTGTTTCCAAAATATTAAAATACTCCTGTAATTTGTTTTGGAGGGAAAGGAGGATACGATGATAAAATAATTCATATAAAAATTTCAAGCATAATTCAAAATGCCAACGCTGGCATCCCTCCGGCTAAGTGGGGAATGTCTGAAGCTTGCACCTCACTGTCGCATCTCCGCGTACCCCCCAGGTCACCCGCAGCGCCGAGTGTCCAGGACCAGGAGAGGCGACACGCACCTGGAACGCCTATCTACTGACGCCACAAACAAATACAAACGGTCACGCTGCGCTGTGGGAACGACTCGGCCCATTTTTGTGACTACTTTCAAGGAGACTACCCCTCTCCTGAACCCCTCCATCTGGCCTTTTGGAAGATGACTATGAGAGAACGAGGAGAAACACGAACAGATTTATGAGGGATCACCTCTCTCGTACCAACCGAAATGCCAAGCAGGCTTCTTGCCCCACTGAGATGTTAGTGGCCATGATTCCCTCATTGTCCTCCGAGAGGACAATGCTCTCATCACAAATGGGAACCGGACTGGGCAAAGCCAGGCCCCTACCTGTAGCAATTATTTTCTTAACAACCTCAAAAAACAGGGGTGGTGATGGTAGTGGTGGTGCGAGCCGAGACTAATGTTGCCAAATTGAGCCCAGAAGCATCTAAGTCTCTTTTCCGACAGCCAAGCCTTTCCAGGAGCAGGGAGACCAGACCAGGCTTCTCCCCTGAGATGCTGAAGACAAGGGTCAACGGTGAAAACCTCTTCGAAAGCTTTCAGTTGATGTTTCTCTGAGGAACTGGGAGGTTCTCATGAAGATATTTTAAATTTCCGTGTTCTGAGAAATCTGATACCACGTGGTCCAGTCCTCGGAGCAGCCACTTAGTGGTGAGTAGTCCCTCGAGTCCTACTGGTCCCCGGGCGTGGATTCGAGAAGTACTGATTCCCACTTCCGCGCCTACAAAAAGGATGGATGAAGATGAAGCATCTCACAGCCTCTGTGTCCCGTCTGTCCACCTGCCAGACCCGAGTCTCATCGCCTCAGCTGGTGCGCTTTCTTTCTCCGTGCTACCTTCCGAGCCAGCCTTCTCAGCCCCGCTGAGTGCCACTGTCCCTGTCTGGGCCCCCTCCGCCTCCTCACCACACCTAGTGTGGGCCTCCTTCCCTACTGCATTCTGGCAACACCAGCGGCGTCTCTGACCTCCGACTGGCATGTGAACTGTGCACCACAATCTGTCATTTGGGCATGTACTGAGGTGTACAATGCTTAGGGTCCCCAAATAATCCTTACATTCTAGAAAGTAAGGGACCGTGTTTTTAACCTCCTCTCAGATTTCTTAGCACGCCAGTGCTCACTACCGTGCAGTCACTGCACATGAGAGGCTTACTGCTCACTGTCCGACCCTCTCGTTCCAGGCGTGGAGCGGGTGGCGCCCAGGTGTCTCTGAGGCTGCCTCAGTGCTCTGCACTGTACCAGGTAAAAGCAGGGTTCCCTTGTTCTTTGTGACTTCACCTAGCCAGGGCCATGGGCCAGGCAGCGTTTTCATGGCACCTATATGCTCACGTTCAAGACAGCCAGACAACAGCAAAGCACATAATGTTACTCAGAGGCGGTGCATCCAAACCAAAACCCCATATGCACAGCCACTGAGTCAGTTCCATGACTCATTATGTCCTTGTAGAACAGGGCGCAACTCCCCCTGTGGGTTTCCAAGACTATCACTTTTTATGGGAGTAGAAAGCCCCATCTTTCTCCCAAGGAGTGGCTGTTGGCTGCGAACCACTGACCTTGTGGTCTGCAGTCCAACTTGTAACCAGGTGGTGCTTAAGAGCAGTGGAAGGTGCTGTGGGTTAAGCAAGGTCAGCTAGTCAAACCCACCAGTGCTACACGGACGGAAGATGAGCCTGTCTGCGTCTGTAATGATATGCAGTTGTGGAAACCCTACCCAGGGTCACTATGAGTTGGAATTGACTCAGTAGCAGTGGGTTTGGGTTTGGTTTTCCAAACAGTGTGGGGGTGAGGGTGAGGGTGTGCACCTTCTTGTACTACCCAAAGTACACCCAAAGCACTGCCATTAAGTGGAACCCGACTGACAGTGAACCTACAGGACAGAGCAGAAGAGCCCATATGCTGTCCAAGGCTTTACTTCTTTACAGAAGCCGACTGCCTCATCTTTTCTCCACAGAGGAGCTGGTGGGCTCCAACCAATGACCTCTAGTTAGTAGCCATGAGCTTACCGGCGACCCCCAGAGCTCCTCAAGGACGACATCAGACAACATTCCTTGTGATACAGAATAAAACTTGCCCTTGGTTAAGTTTTAGAAGCAGGTCATCAGGCCTTTCTTCCCAGTTTGTCTGTCTTAGTCTGTCAGCTCCACTAATGGCTGGGTCAGCCTGCTGATACTTTTAATACTGGTGGCAGAGCGTCCAGCATCACAGAAACCACAAGAGTAGGGACAAACTGTCAAACAACGTCCAATAACGATCAGTGGCCACTGTTGTGAATGTGTTCCACAAGAACCGAGCTTGGCCAGTGCCGGCCATTTATGCTCCACATGCTGGAAGGACACCTGAGTGGCCTCTTGTTCGCCCCCCATCTCCAGCTTGGGCTGGAAACTGGGCACCCAGGCCCTTCTATGTATGTTGTTATTTCTTCTGCAAGAAAGTGGAGTACACAGATCTGTGCCAGTGCTGGGATAATTAAATCAAGCCGACATCAAACAAATGAGGGAACTAAAAATAGTCTAATGACCAACAATGAACCAGTAACAGTCCTTCTGATTGCCTTTAACCATACAGTGAGAGCTATTTCTATAGGCAGAGCATTCGCCAAAAGTTCAGAGAGAGTAACAGGGTGAAATGATTTCCAGAATGCAGAAACGAGGCCATACATGTCTTCCTGGAGCTCTAGCGGGTCCCCTGAAAACCCAGGTGCCGTGAGATCAGAGGGGGCTGCAGGGGGTATGACTAATAGCAGGAGGGGGAGGGTGCCATTATAAAGCTTTTCCTGTAAACCCCTGACCTCTCTGGGCTCGGTGTGCATGCTGACACGTAAGCCGAGGACAGGCTTGAGCACACTTTCTCCTACTCCCGTGGTGGGGTAGAGTGTGTGTGCATGCGTGCGTGTGTCTGTTCATGTGAAGGGGCATGACGTCTAGTGCTGACTGGGCCATTCTGAAGAAATGAATCTGCACTGGCACTGTTCGAATCCACCTGCAACTCTGTTGGAGCAAGATGGGGCAGACGGCTTCCGAAAATACTTCCAGCCTTGGAAATCCCCAGGGGATTTCTACTCCACCCTGTAGGATCATGAGGTGGAATCCACTCACCTGCAAGGGGTTTGTGTTTTTGATACAGTTCTTAACATGTGACCTGTCTAGACTTCCACGAACTTACGTCTGTCTCCTCCTTTTGCAATCCTATCCTGCCACGATTCTGCCTCCACCATCTTGACCACGCCTATGCATTGCTCTCGATTGGAGTCTTACCCAGTCCGAAGCGGTAGCCGTCAGAGAAGCGAGTGCTGGCATTCCAGAACACGCAGGCACTGTCGACGTGCTGGAGGAAGAACTCTGCTGTTTTCTCTGGAGCCGGAAGAAGAGAGGAGACAGCGGGTGAGGATGACCCACGTCAGCAGTCCTGCCTCCAGCCACTCCCTGGCAGCTGACCAGAGCACACTAGGGTCCCCAGTGCTCCCCCTGCATGATAAACCCAGGGGGTGGGGTTGTCAGAAATGGGAGAAGGAAGAAGGCAACCCCGCACCATCAGAGCTGGGGTGGTGGACGGTGTAGAGACATGGTGAAGCGGGGGCTGGGGCCCAGGCCTCCCAGGCCACCAGAGCTGGGTGAATGGCTTGGGCTCTGGGGTCCCAGCACCCTTCCTCCACTGTTCTTCGCGTCTGCCTAGTCCACGTCTCCCAGCTGGGTGGCCTGCAGCAGCTTTCCGGGCCTCTCTGCTGGAGTGAAAGGAGAACGGAAGCGCCGCCCATCTCGGCTGCAGAGGACTGAGCGAGGGCCAGCACACGGCAAGTGCTCAGCTCTGTCCGCATCACGCCAGCGGCACAGCTGCGCTTCCCCAACGTGCGGAGTGCGCCCCTCCAGGGCACAGGTCCTCACACTCACTCGGCCCACCACCACACCTCTTTCAGAAAAAACTACCCAGCGCCCCTTGGCAATTAAAATCCTTCCTACCATAGCCCACAATCTAGGATCAAGTGTAGGAGGCCGTCTTGCCCACTTTGGGAAACACTGTTCTAGGGGGGGGTCATTCTGGTTTTTGTCACCATGGTACCTCCAATGCCTGGCACCTAGGAATGTGCCCAACATAATATGCGTGGAGTGAGCAGACGGAGGGGCGTGTTCTGCTATTCACGAGTTGGTCCAGGGCATTGGTTTCCTCGGCTGTAAAATTAGTGTATTCCAACTACCTGCTGAGATTGTTCTCTGGATTGAAGGGGCACGCCTGTCACAAGCTACGTCATCTTGAAATCAAAGACACACAGCATTGCTGTTGAGCAGATCCTGACTCACAGTGACCCTACAGGACAGAGTGCAAGTGGCCCATCGAGTTTCCAAGGGTGTAATCTTCACAGAAATAGACGCCCACCTCTTAATCCTGATGGGTGGTTGGTGAGTTTGAACTGCTGACCTTTACATTAGCAGCCAATCACTTGACCGACTGAGCTACCAAGGATCCTAAGCCCCCTTTAAGGTATAGTCATTGTGGTCAGTCTCTCCCAGCTACACGGCTCTAACAACCTAAATGAGGTCACCTGTGTGTCTAGTCTATGGAGCTAGAAATGGCTAAAGGGCTTGGCTACTGGGGCTGGAGATTCAAGAACACCCAGAGGTGCCTTGGTAGAAAGGCCCTGTGACCCAGTTCCTAAAAAACGAGCCACTGAACATGTGAGGGAGCGCAGTTCCACTCTGACACGTGGTGGATCACTGAGTCAGGAGCACCTCAACAGCACCCTCAAACAGACATCCACCTACGTGGAAGCACGGGGCTCACGGACTGGATGCCACGCCGCTGACCCAGGGCCAGCTCTGCAGCAGGGCAGGAGAGGTCGAGGGGAAGGGGGCAGAACAAGCCACGCCCGTGGCTCAAGGCACCTGGATGCTGACCGTTCTCTGTGACGATGACATCTGTGTGGGAGCTGCCGTACTTGTGGATGTGCTCAATGGCCTCCTGCACACTGTCTACCACTTCGATGCACAATTCCAGGTCGCCGTACTCGGTTCGAAGCGACTTCACTTCGGAAGGGCTGAAGGTCAGATAGGAAGCAAACTTGGGGCCGGCGTGAATTTTCACCTGAAACAGAGGGCAACCGCAAACAAGTCACAGCATGCTCCCACGCCTTCCTCCAGGGTCCAACTGCAAGCTACCCCCTCAGAGCCCTTCCCGGTGACTCGTCTGTCTGAGGGGTGCACCCACCGCCGAAAGAGGGGGCTCACGTGGCCGGGATCACTAAGCCCAGCCTGCTACTCACAGCCAGGGTGTGCTGCTTGTGAAATGCTGACCGGAAGGAAGCGGCTGATCATTCAGAAGGAATCGGGCATTCAACGGGCTGTGAGTGTAAGCGGTGGACTACTGGCCTTTTACTACAATGAACCCTTTGACTAGAAATCCGTCTGTGCATGGGACCGTGACCTTAGATCCCTATGAAAAGGGGGGGGGGGCATTTCCACCCCTTCCCTCGAAGAAGCCCCTCGTGTCTTTTAGAGGTTAAGAGTACGTGGTTAGGCTCTTTTAGCACCTCCTCGGGCTGTGGTCACCTGTTACACTTGATTCCATCTGCTCCCGCCGCTAGACTCAGCTCAAGTGGAGGAGTTTCAGGAGCCCAGGGCTGGTCACTGATGGCCTCAGCCACAAGCCTAACCCTACATAGAGCTTAGACCGAGAAAGCCCGGGGACAGGGCTCATGCTGTATTTCTTTAGATCTAATCTCGTCTTAGCTTAAGTTAAAGCAAATGAACTGTCTCGTCTTCATGATGGCTGATTTCCACTTTTAGCCTATGTGCTGCCGAACGAAGCGAGCAGAGTGATGCCTGATTTCCTATGTGGGCCCTGGACTGCTCAAGGACTGGAACCTCTCCGAGTCCTCCGGCTCATCCTGCAATAAGGAAGTGCTCTGGGGAGGGCAAGGCCATGTGGACACCGGCGGAGATGCTGTGGGTTTTCCAGAATCAGAACTGGGGAGGAGTCCCCGCTGCAGGACAGCTGTCCTCCTGTCCAGTCCGGTGCAGGCTGGTGTTTGCCACACCTGAGTATCCAGCCAAGCAGGCCCACCCATGCAAAGTAAGGGACTGAATGCAGTGATGTAATCTAAACCCTTAATTTACTCTGTGTGGTACTTGTGCATTCTTCAAACCATTCTTTCAGGTCCATGACAGACTGCGTGCCTACTTCACAAGCTGACTGCAGACTCCCTCCCAACATCAAAATGTCGGAGAGGAAGATCGAAGCCAGCACTTTCCTTACTGTGTGCTAGCTGATAGAATTCTTAAAGGGGATCACGAAATAAGTTGTTATAGCTTAAAATGCTTCAAGCCCATTGCCATCCAGCCAGTGGACGGAGCAGAACAGCCCCTCAGGGTTCCGATGGCTGGATGTCTTTTGTGGCAGCAGACTGCCTCATGCTTCTCCCGAGTGACGGCTGATGGGTTCAATGCTGACCCTGCAGCCAGCAGCCCATGTTTCCACCACAGTGCCACTAGAACAGAAACCACTGAAGGTGTTTTGGGGGGTGGGGGTGTTGGTAGATGCATATACATTTCAGTTTGAAAACATTTCTGCAATCTTTTTACATCTAATCCAACGAGAAAAGTATTCAGAAACGTAAACTTTAAACTTCCCTGCCTGAGTAGAAGGTTGGCAAAAAGTCCACTGACCATGTGTGATCCATCTTATCTTTGAACCCTCTTGGCACCGAACACATTCCGCTTTGCACTACAGCTATTCGTGTGCCGTTTGTTCTGCCCGCTGGGTGGCAGCGGTCAGTCTCAGTCACCTCTGAGCACAAACCTCGTGTAGCATGATCCTCCAAATCACAGATTTTAAACCGGCCTCAGCTACTCGTTGGTGCGGCAGTCCCCAAATGGAAGATGGGAAGCGAGTGCAGCTCCCGTCTGAAAATGGGCCTCACCTGCTCTACTCTCAGCATGTCGATGATCTGGTCAAAGAGCGGCGTGCGCAGCAGGTCTCGGTGGATGAGCAGAGTCTCCAGGGCGTTGCAGGCAGCTGGGTATTCACACTTAGAATCCCTGACTGAACGGGGAAGAACAGAGATGCGTTTACGGTGCGGTGATCTAAAGCCTGCCTTTCACCTCGCTGGAAAGCAAGTGACTCCAGCTCACCGAGTCTGGTGGCCTTGTCCACACTGGCCTCCGAGTCCACGTACATGTGGCAGATCCCTTCGCTGTGCCCCATGACCGGAATCCCCTTGGTCATTTTCTGGATGTCCCTGACCAGCTGGGAGGAGCCGCGGGGAATGATCAGATCGATCATCTTGTCCAGGCGGCAGAGGTCCTCCACTTCTTCTCTGGTATTCACCTGACAGGGAGAGAGCCGAAGACGCCACTCTGACCACACGCCGCACAGGGAGCACCTCCCATCTCCACTATACTACCAGTCAGTATGGCTTGTGGGCCAATTACTGCACCTCCGCGAGCTTTGCTTGTTCTCCTCCCATCTACACAACGGGCTTAAGAGTTAAGGCAGCTTCCTCATCAGGCTGTACGAATCCTGGCTGTTACCATCTACTTCCAAAACCTCATTTGACAGTGGACGAGAGTGAGAAAGTTCGGCTTCGTAAAAACGTGACCACAATAATAGCACTCTCAGCATGGTCTCCGATTTACGTGAAAGTTTATTACACAATTTTCTAAAATCTATCTCCCCTGATCTGCCCCACACTGCTCCGTCAGGGAGACAGAAACCGGGCCTCTCCTCTAGAAGGAAGGTCTAAAGGACACCGATCCAGGAGTGTCTGTTAATGTCACCCATAAGGAAGGAGCATACGAGACCCAGGAGACCCAGTGGGCCAAGGAGCCTGGCTCTGCAGACCGGCCCCATGCCACTAGCTAACGCCCAGGGTTACTGAGTGTCACTCCAATCAAGCCTGCCTGTGAGAGTGTCCCTGTACGCAGCCTGAACTCTGCTTCAAACACCCACGGACCCGCCTCGAGCCTCTGGGCCCTACCAGTTGTACGGCCTCCTTGACTCCATGGACAGAGAGGGCCTCCTGGGTCAGGAGGTGAAGGATCCGGTTGCTGTGTGAGGCTTCTCTCCCTCCCTTGAGTAACAAGCCATTACCACTTGCAATTGCCAAGGCGGCCACCTGCAGATCAAAGGAAGCGCAGCTGAGTCAAAGGGGGAGAGAGTGGCAGTAATAGTGACATCAGCGCAGCACCGTGACTGGCTTTATCAGGCCTGGCCTCTTTAATCCTCATAGCACTTCCAGGGAAGTAAGCACTTGTGTGACCCCCCAGCTCACAGAGAGGAACCCGCGGCTCAGAGAGGTTGGTGACACCCTGAGGGTCAGAGCTTGTAAACGGTAGGGCTGAGAGTGACAACACCCAGTGGGCTGACACCAGAGCCAAACCACCCTGAAACTTCCAGCTGAACAACGGGGCTTCCCTAGTATCCCTGGTAGAGCAACTGGAGTTAATCGCCCAGGGTTAACTTGCCACCCCATCCCCACTCTGGCCACTGTGGACAACAAGGGCCTCGGCTGCCTCGGTGGGGAAGTACATGTAAGTGACTCAGGCTGAGGCAGTGGGGAGCTGCAGGCCACATCCTTCTCTGGCCTCATAGTTCATGTGAGCCCCACCTGCCTGGGGTTACGAAGCTGGAGAAGGCTAGAGCTCTCGCCAGCTCCCGGGCAGCTCTGCAGACACGAGGCAGGGAGCACCGGGCCTGTTTACAAACAAAGAGCCCACCCCCACCCTGCCAGTGATCCTGGCCCCATCCTCCTAGGTCCAAGGCTGAGCTTTCTAAAAGCTTTTGGGAAGGGAATCTTCTGGTTTCTCGGAGTAAATGAAACTACTTAAAAAGATGAACAAAAACGTGGGAAAAGGGAGACAGTGAACGGTGTTAAGATATGAAAACAATAATTTATAAATGTATCAAGGGTTCATGGGGGCGGGGAAAAGAAGAGCTGATACCAAGGGCTCAAGTAGGAAGAAATGTTTTGAAAATGGTGACGGCAACGTTATGTACAAATGTGCTTGATACAAAAATTGATGTATGGAAGGTGATAAGAGCTGTAAGAGCTCCCAATAAAATGATTTATATATTTTAAAAAGCCATGCTGGAATAAGTTAAATCCCCAGTCATGATTCCTAATCTATATATTTTAAAAAGCCATGCTGGAATAAGTTAAATCCCCAGTCATGATTCCTAATCCTTTTTAATCTATGTGCTTTGTTCAGACCTGTTATAAAAATTATGCACTTTCTCCAGGTAAATGCGCAGCACACAGAGCTCTTTCACCAACAGCTTCAGTGTGTGCGCGCTACGGAGCACCCGATCCCTGGCTGAGGGACCTCTATGAACGCTGGCTGAGGAAACCCCAGAGCCCCGGTGACATATCAGCGTGCCAGGATGAAAGGGAGCAGACAACAGAAGCCACCGAGCCCCAGGGACCGTTTCTGTTGGCAGAAGGAGAATTGTGCATCCATTGCCAGGGCATTTCTGCCAGTCAGAAAGTGGTGGTGGGCCAAATAACCAGCCAGGGGCAGGGTCCCTTTGTGAACTGACCAGTTTAGGTTCTATGGGAAGAGCCTTATGCATTCCCATGGTCACGTGTGTATTACAGTCATGAGACGCTTTTTTTTGGAGATATTATGTTCTTGTTTTACACAGAATGCTCCTGAGACTTGGGGTTAGTGGAGAAAAAACAGCTAGTATCATCCGAATGGAAAGTCCAGTGGAGACTTGGTCCCAGATAAGGACCCCACCTGATTATTTCTGGGCCTGGGCATTTGGTAAAATCTCACATGACTTCTGAACACTAACTTGAGGTATGTCAACTTCCAGTCTTATTTTTGTTAATTACTCAAGTTCACTCTCCTAAAAAAAAAAAAAGTACCTCCAGGAAACCACTTGGGAAACTGATCATGAAGGAGAGTTTGCTCACAAGAGCAAGGTCAGGCAGCCAGTGAATGCTCAGTGCGACAGGCTGGCAGGCACTCGGTGGCCAGAGTGAAGCACACCAGGGAGCGCTCGCTCATTGCCACCCAGTCGGACTCCCCGCAACCCTAACGGGCAGGGTAGAAGTACCCCTATGGGTTTCCAAGAATGCAGCCCTTTATGGGAGTCGGAAGCCTCGTCTTTTTCCAGTGAGCTAGGAAATGTTTTCCATGTGCTCCTCCATTGGACAGTAGACCGGCCTGGCTGCAGCCAGGCCTCCACCCTCACAGCTGTGTTAGGAATATCATCTCCGACAAGCCCCAGTAAATGGGAAAGATATATGAGGGGGTAACCCCCTAAAAAATGGAATTTTTCTTTCTCAAAACTATGTATTTAAATTTTTTACAAAACAACCAAAATGCTCTCCATTACACTTAATAATATGCCAAATCTGTGACTCCATTCGAGGAAACATCTTTCTTTTTTTAAAAAATCATTTTGTTGGGGGATCGTCCAGCTCCTATCCCACAACCCAGACATCCATCCATCGTGTCAAGCACATTTGGACATTTGTTCCAATCATCATTTTCAAACATCATCGTTCTACTTGAGCCCTTGTTATCGACTCCTCACTTTTTTCTCCCTCCCTCCCTTCCCTTATGAACCCTTGATAATTTATAAATTATTAATTTCCCATGTCTTACACTGACTGATGTCTCCCTTCACCCACTTTTCTGTTGTCCGTCCCCCTGGGAGGGGCTTATACGTAGATCATTGTGATCAGTTCCCCTCTCTCCTCCCACCTTCCCCTTTCTTGCAAACATTTTTCAAATTCATCTCTCTGGATGGCTGATAGCATCTCCCTTTTGCTCTTCACCTCTTCTACATCATCAAATTGCTGTCCTTTCATGTCGCTCTTCAATGGCAGAAACAAAAAGAAGTCACATGAGTGAGGTCAGGTGAGTCAGGTGCCCCATGTGGGGCAAGAGAGGTATGCTGTTTTTTTGCCAAAAACTGGCGCACTGAGATAGGCTGCGTGAGCAGGTGCACTGTCCTGGTGGCAAAACCAGTCTGTCGCACAAGCCTTTTCTGTCCCACAATGTTACACTCTCTTTTCAGAACCTCTAAACAAAGCTTGATGAACAGTCTGACCTGGTGGAACAATCTCCAACACTGCTAGCTGACATCTGTGTCTGTTCAAGAAGTTGACGGATGCCAAGAGCAAGGTTTGTCACAATCGACATTTCACCTTTTATGAACGAGAAAATCACTCATATACTTGAATTTTTCCCATAGCGCTGTCCTTGTAAGCTGTGTTCAACATCACAACAGTTTCTGCGGCATTTTTCCCAAAAAGGAAACAAAATTTCACAGCTGCATGCTGTTCACTCAAATCAGCCATCACAAAAAACAGGGTTTGAGTAAAACTGCTTTTACAAAAAAATTCACTGTGACCTGAGAGAACCTTCACAGGAGATGCCACTGGGTGCACTCAAAGAGAGTTGCTGGATGCTTGCCTAGTGGGAGAAATGTGTACTACAAAAGTCTCTCCGCCCAGCGCAATTCTGTCTTGGGGGGCGTTACCCCCTCATATGATACATATGTTAGGATTACTGGAAGAATCGACGAAGTAATACACCTTGAAAAGAACCTGAAAATAAAGCTTTAAAAAGGACCTGCAGAAGGCTTATCTGCAATCCTGAAAACCTCTCTTCCTCCAGTGCCTCCCACCCAATGACAGAGCACGAACCACCTACCTGGGGGAGACAATCAGGACGGGACTCAAAGATCACCAGGAGGACTCCAATCGGGACGGTCACTTGTTCTAGCTCCAAGTTCTTGGCAACGCGGGTCCGACGCAGAACGCGGCCCACACTGTCCTGTGAGGAGGCTGCGATCTGCCGCAGCCCGATGGCCAGACTGTTCAACTTGGAGGTGGAGAGGCTCAACCGCTTCAGCAGTGGACCTGCAAGTCTCCCTGGAGGGAAGGGTCCACGAGCAATGAGTCGGGCTGGGCTGGCCACACCACCAACTTTGATTTGCTGATGCTTCACTGAGCAGTGGATGGCACCGTGTTGTACAGAGAGGTTATGGGGCTCAAGAAAGGGTGACGTGCCATCTATGTAGCTTGTCTAGAAGGGCAAGATGACACTACCTATCACCACGTACAGTGTACACACCCATATCCTTTACACCGGCAATCTGACTTCCAGAAATGTATCATTTGCCTGAGCCAACCTGTGTGTAAATGAGGATGCTCACCAAGGCATTTTTTAAAACGACAGTGACACAATAGGAATTTTCCTACAAATTCTAACCATGGGCTTCCATGCAGTTATCATAAGTAACATACCTACAAGTAATGGCATGGGAAGGTATCTAGGATGCAACTTGTGAAAAAGGCAGACCACGGAGCAGTGTGTATCCCAGGGCCCGTCTGAGAAAATACTGCCTCAGCGAGGGGCTCCAGAAACAAGGGAACTTTCCCACGAAGGGCTGGGCAAGTGTGCACCCAGAGTTCTGGAGGGCATCAAGAACAGTGAGGGCTGGGGTCTACTTCGTCCACTGCATTACTTCATTTTTAAGAATACTGAGTAAATTGCATTAAGAATCAAGGGCAATCAAGTTTTCTTGTGAAACAAAAATTTTAAGTACAGCTATGTAAAGCTCCCATATGCTGACTCTTACTTAAACGATCCTCATAGTGTGATTCTCTCCCCATATACACACACATTTCCATACATCTACACAGACAGGAGCTCAGAGAAGCCATTTGGCACTGGATACCACAATCTTTACTGCAGCCAACGTTGAAGTGAGAATATGAAGTCTTTCTTTATTAATAATCGTGCCCACCAAGATAAAAGACAATTTCTGTTTTTAAGGGGGAGGGAGCATCCTTACACCAAGAAAAAAATTAAATCAATTATCCTACCAACCAATTATGCCAGCTAATTAATTTTTCCCCACATGCATTTTAATCAAGTTTTAATTATAGTACACATTATATGTTACAATTCCAGCTTCTTGCCTAACAATTCACAGTACGTTTTCTGTGTTGCAGAAATTATCATTTTAATTACTATTAAGTATTCTACCGAGCTGATACCACTTAACGCTCTCAAACACACCGATGCTGTTAGACACTCGAGCTTGTTTTGCTTTGGGGGTTTCTGGGTTTAAGTAGTGTCTCTAGTGGGATAATCTTACTCTAAGAAGTTTAATGTACTGAGTTAGCTTTGAGACCCCGTTTGTGTACACTCAGAACTTTGTTGTGAATTCCACGTGTGTCCTGTGTATTTCCGGAGACCTGTGACCGGGATCACAGGGGAAGGGTTCTGTCAGTAACTAACTGTGTGACCTTCAGCAATAGCTTTAACCTCTGTGCGTCTCCGTGCTCATCTTTAAATGTAAGAACTGGGAAAGATAATGTAGGGACACTGGCTAGTGCTGCAATGGCCACAAGGGCTAAGCAGGCACTGCCAGGTGTGTCCACTGGGGCACTTCCCCAGCACACAGCCAGGTCAGAGCACAGGCAGATGCGCTGTTTTCTTCAACCCCTCTTCTCAAAGACAATCTACCACTGCGTTTCAGGAATATCCTGCACTCGAGAGTTGTTTATGATCTGCTATAGAGAGTCCTCCCACGGTTACCCCTTTTCCAAGCTTTTCCTGTCCAGCCAGGTGCTGGATGCAGTTCTGCAGCCCCGGTCCGTAGGCCACCTCAGTGCAACTACACCGATGTCTCTTAGGTTGGCTGTGGATCAGTTTTTTTGTCTCTCAGCCTCTACGTACATGGAGTCTCTCCCTCTGTGTGGCTCAAGGCCAGACAGACAGCAAAGATTTTTTTTTGCACTTCTGAATTCCATCTTCTGACTTTCTGGGAAGGTGAAAACTCAAGCCTACATACAAGTCTACCTCAGTGGCTGATTTCTCTCAAGATGGACAGCCTATTCCCTCTTCATAGTCTGTTCTTAAGTCTGGAAGCTCTGCTGAAACCTGTTCACTTTGGTGATGCTGCTATTTGAGATCCCTGGGCCATAGCTTCCAGTTATCACAGCAACATGCATGCCACCAGAGTACGACAAATGACAGAACGTTCCATAGAGGTAAGGACAGCAGGCCTGTCTCACATACTTGGGACATGTTATCAGGAGGGACCTGGAGAAGAACACGCATGGCAAAGTGGAGGGGAAGCAAAAAAGAGGCAGGCCCTGGACAAGCTGGACCGACACAGGCGCTCAGTGGTGCAGGACCCAGAGGCGTTTCACTGTTGCTCAAGGTTGCTCTGAGTCAGAACCGCCTGGAGACAGCCCCTACAGCAGGTGTAGAGTCTAAAGGGAGTTCCCAGTCAACTGCGGCCAGGAGATTTTCAGGAATGAAAGTAACGCTGAGAAGCCTCACAGGGTTTCAACAAAGCTCTGTAATGTTTCTCTTGAGTATCCACTAATCCGGCTGCTGGAGGTGCATCTGTTCAATAGGAAAGACATTCCGAATTCCCCAAGACCAAGCCCATTATTTTAAGATGGAGTTAGGGAAAGAGCGAATGACGGAGGGCCCACCTGACTACAGCTGTCGGGGACTAATTGTGCCTTCTGCCATCTCACTCACACATCGGAGGCCCCACTGTACAGCAGCACCTTGTGCTCAGGCTGGGTGACTTCTCACTGGCTAATTAACTCCACAGACACACTATCTTTCATCACGTGACAAAAACGCTCTGCAACTTTTCATAAGCACCATCTGTCTAGGTTTGGATTCTTGGTGGTCACTGGTCACGAGTGTAGGTGACTTAACTTCCCTGAGCTTCATCAGCTCTCTAATCTGCAAAATGTGAAGAATACTAATTGCGACCTCACAGGTGGGTGGAGGCCCTGGGTAGGGCACATGGCTAGGCTTGACTAATAGCTGAAAAGACCAGCCGTTTGAAGCCACCCAGAGGCACCTCAGGAGACAGGCCTGGTGATCTGCTTCCAAAAGGTGAGAGCCTAGAAAGCCTACAGAGCAGTTCCACTCTGCACACCGGGGGTCTCAGCCACCATCTCAAGAGTCACAGTTATGAAGAGAAAGGCTCCCTGGTCATCGAGTCTAGTCTGCCTCAGAGCTGACCTACAGAGCAGAGCACTGGGCCTGCGGGTGTCTGCGGCTGTCAGTCTTTGTGGGAACAGAAAGCCTGATCACTCTCTTTCAGAGCAGCCAACGGGTTTGAACTGCTGACCCTGGGGTTGACAGCACGTCGCCCACTTGGCCACAAGAAAGTTCTCAAAGAATGCTAGCTGCTATTAGCTGAATGGCTAATGAAATAAGGTTCCCAATCTTTTTTTTTTAAATCCTGAAATTCCTGTGGAACTATGGCTTGTCACTGTGGTGAAAGGATTAAGAGGTTGTATTAGAATATATGCGATGTTGTGTGTGTGTACAAGGGGGAGTCAAACGTTTGTGGAAAACCAGTATCGAGAGAGAGTAGGATCTCCTTACAAACTTTTGGAAGCCCCTCACGGGATTTCAGAATGCCCAACAGTACTAGTCACCAGCCTCTATAAAAAGGATGCCCGATACACATTCCCTTCTATAAAATTCTTATCTCCTGACAGCTTATGACATACGAATTGCTAGCAATAATAACACGAAACACCCCTGTTAACAAGGACTCTAAGAAGCTTGGCCATCTTTACCTTCTGCCTCCTCCAGGTCTTTCTTGTTGGCTGACAGGATCGCCTCACGCTGGTCCGTCAAGAGGTCAGCCAGGTGGTGGATGATTTCTGCTCTCTGGGGGGGGAGGCACAGTGTTAGACAAAAACACACTTCCGAGAGCGACAGTCCTTGCTCCTGAATAATCCAAGGCCACCATGACCTGAACCCCTTTCCTTTCCCACCCGCAGTCGCTCCCTTCTGTTGGCCAGCGCCACCCCCGCCCCATTTCTCCTCAGTTCGGGACCACTTCTGATCATGATAATCAACAAACCACAGCCCAGTGAGGGGGATGAATTGATCTGTCCAGGATCCAGCACTTTCAATCAGCAGGATGCACACCTCTTCGTAGATTTACTCCCCAGATGTATTTTTGCCATCTCGTTTTTATTTGGTGATGGTTAGTCTTTTAATGACTGTCAACAGGGGTGATCCAGTCCAGGCCACTTGATGAGAGACTCATTTTTACCCACCAGGCAAACTACTGTGGCAATTACTGATGGAGAAGGAAAGTGGTCCGAGGAAGACCTTTCTTTCTCTGCTGCGGCTGTTTTAAATTCAGAATATTCCCTGGCATGAACCTATCTATAGCCACACATCTCAAGTCCACACTTAGCATCAAGACTTTGGGGAAGCAAGTGCCAGCTTCAATTCTGACCTCCTTACCATTTCCACCCTCACTGTGCCTGCTGCTTAGACCAACCACTCACACAGGTAGGGCTAGGCCAGCAAGCTTTCTTCCATCCTGCAGGTAGGCGGGGTGATTTGGAATGGGCTTGGAGAAGTAATTTTCCTAGTTTTCATGCCGAGTATGTGGCAGGATTAGGTAAAAATCTTGATTACATCATTTCCATGATTTTTTTGATCAAAATAATATGACAATGAAAAGCTAGTGGGCCCAAGCCTACCAAAGACTGAGGGAAAAGACACTGTAACAGAAGAGAAAATGTGCAGTTTATGGGAATCAGACTGGTAACTTGGGATAACTGAGACTCTAGGGCAGGGATCCTCAAACTTTTAAAACAGGGGGTCAGTTCACTGTCCCTCAGATCTGTTGGAGGGCTGGACTATAGTTTAAAAAAAAACTATGAACAAATTCCTATGCACACTACACATATTTTATTTTGAAGTAAAAAGACAAACGGGGCAAAAACACCCGGGGGGCCGGATAAATGTCCTCGGCGGGCCACCTATGGCCCACGGGCCGTGGTTTGAGGACGCCTGCTCTAGGATAAAGAGAGCACCAGCCGGGCCACTGCACAAGTGTCCAAACTCCATCCATCAGCACAGCCTGATGGGCTCCACAACTACAATAAAACGGCGAGAGGACGTGATTACCTGCTCAGGCTCCAGAGTGGCCAACATCCTTCCTCCAGTTCGAGCCATCTCTCCCTGCTGCTCCACGGTAGGACCTGCGGATTTGCAAATGGCAGACCACGGTCAGCACACTCCTTCCTTAATGACCCCAGCACAGGGGCACATACATGCTTGTCATGTGCAGAGGTGGAATGTATGCATCTTAGGACGCTTGGTTTACCCATGGAGATCACTGTGACCCTCAAAATGACAACGAAGTACTCTGGCATGAGCATAACCTCCTGTCTATCTGGGTGTACAATGCACATTTTATATGTCTTCTACTGCTCTTTCAACAGTCTACATTTAAACTCCATCTGCATTTCTGAAGACAGACTATAAGGCAGTTCTGCTCACTGTGAGTGAACATTTGCAAGCACTGCCTCAAAGTTCAAACAGCGGCACAGCTCTTATAAATAACGATTAAAGTACCCCCCCCACCCCACTTCTGTACCCACAGCACAAATCAGTACCTGGCATCTACCGTGGAGCTCAGCAATGTTTCTGGAGAAAAACAAATGCATATATTCCTAACTTAGGGATTTTGGAGAGCAAGCAGGAGACCTAGCTGGACTGGTTAGGAAGAATTTTCCCAAAGCGGAGCAGATTCAATTTTACAAATTATATTCATAATATCAATGCCTTATTTCGTAATATTAGTCCATCAATGTTGTGGTCTATGTTCCCAGGCTAAGAGCCGAGTCTTCAGTCCCATCTAAGCAGGGCACCAGCCATAGGACACCCCAGGCCAGAGGACCTTATGGTAAGGTGACCAGATGTCCTGCTTTTGAACAATTTTTCCCGCGTCCCACGGCGTTTTAAAAAAGTCCCGATTTTTGGAAAGAATGCATGACAAGCTAGGGTATACGGTTTTCGGCTGCCATGTGGCTACTTCGCCAGGACATGAATTTTATCAATGGTGTCCCGCTTTACCAGTGTTAAAATCTGGTCACTTTACCTTATGGAGACCTTCTTACCTGCAGGCTTCACTTCAGAAAAGAAGGTACCAACTTTCTTCCCTTCCACGATGTCTGTGATGACATGCCCAGACACCTTAGGGTGGGTTCCGTTGGCGATGACGACAGAAGTGCCTCCCTGCAGAGCCCAGAGGGCTGCCTTCACCTAGAGAGGGGGAAGCCAGAGAGGAGACTCAGAACTCCGCAGTCTATCACTTGCACCCCCACTTTCAAAACAACACAGAGTACAATCTGTATCAGGCAGTGTAAGTATCTGGGGAAGGGTGATAGCTTAGAATCTCTGATTTGTTGCCTGAAGACAAGACAAGGCATCCTTTGTTTTCAGCATGTTCTCTCTTCAAGACTCGCCAGTGCTGGGAATCAAGAGCCATACTCTATTCCTAACTTAGAAACCCCTTGGTATCCAACCTGGCTTGGACTAGTCTGCTTCTGGGTATCTTAAGTTTGTTAAACGGGTCTCTTGTAAACTTCCTTAAAGATTTAACGGATCGGATTTTAATTCCCTAGTTGTTCCCCTTCTGTGGTGTTGTTTGCTCATCTCTCCCCCCCCATCCCTGCCAGGTCCCTCCAGAACTGCTGGTCCCGTTGCTTTCGCCTCAGGCCTCCTTCCCATGCCTGTCTAAAACAGGTATGCAAGACAACACGAACACAGACAAAACAAAAGACTAAATAAAGAGAGAGGGAAATAACTAGTGAAAAAATGAAAAAGCATACATAATTTCAGGTCTGTCTACTGACCTTCCCACCAGTCCTGGGGGATTCCAGGAACTGCCCCCTCTAGGCTAAAGTCTATTTGGGGGGCTCCTCAGGGGCTTTGCTGCTTTGCTTTGCTCCTGTTGCTGATCAATATAACTGATTGGGACAATTCAATGAGGAGAAGGAAATTTGGAAAGATTTTATTAAGAAATATTGGACCCGATGACAGGATTTATGAATTGTGAAAATACATAGACCCTGTCCATAAGGAGTTTATAATATGAACATGCTGCTTATATGAAACTACAAAGAACATATGTAGACATGATTAAATGTAGGCATACTTGCATAACCCTCAGTAAGCCTGTTCAAGGCAATGAAATATTCAGTACTGACCGCCCACCCATAGCCTGTAACTCCCACCCAATGACCTTCCTTTCCCCAATAGGTCTGGGGGAAGAGACTGATTAGATTACACGATTCTGCTGTGAAAGACTAGTGTTAGGGCTAATTATGATTGTCATCCTGCTAGATATAAAATAAACCATCTCAGAAGCAGGAGTGGGGCGGGGGGATAGCTCACTACGAGCAGAAGAGAAGAGCCAGGAGTGGAGCGCACCCCCTGAACCCCAAGATCCCTGTACGTTGAACCTTCTTGGTTCAGAAAAAGCCTTAACACCAGAGGAATGGCAAAGGAGCAGCAGCAATAGAACCGATAATTAGAGCATGGAACGAAAAAAAAAAAGAAAAAAGAACAAGCGCATGAGACAAAGTGGTGGACTTCCCTGTCCACACAGCAGGAAAGCTGAGTGCTTTGGGGCAGAAGGTAGCTTGAGGAGTGAGGTTCCTCTGGGCACTTAACTGGGGGAGCTGGGTTTGCTGATACAGGCAGCTGGAGGCTTATAGCAGGGTAGCATATCTTTTGAGCATTTACTGGCAGCCCTAAAAGGGCTTTGTAACATTGCCCAATCAGAGGCCAGGCCAAGAAGAAACTGTCCTGACCGAAAGACTGTGTCCTGAGCATTTCCCACCTAAAGTGTAGCCTGTGAATGTCCCCAATAAACCCTGTAGTCATGAGCAATGTCTGCGAGTGCTGTCTGGCTGCCGCAATGCATTACAGGACGCAGCTGAGAAGTGGAGAGTGTGAGGAGTGGGGGGCCAGCTGATGTCAGAATTGGCAGAAAGGTTGGAGAGTGGGCATGTCTGACCTCAGTCTCAAAGAAATCTACCCTCATGTGGAGTTTCATTTTCCTTCCCCTTGCGTAGCTGGAGAAGGCAGGTGTGACATCTACGTCAATTTTTGTTTAGCCTGTGCTTATTAGACAGGTGCATATTTAAGTGCACCTCTACTGGACCATTAGCTCCCACACCACTACAGAAACAAATCGGACAAACTCGTGTACTGACTTTGTAATTGTTACAGGCAGTAAGGACACCGGTTCCTACCTTGGCTTCCATGCCTCCCATTCCCACTCTGGACTTGGTTCCAAATGTCACCGACTGCTGGTCTCCAGGGTAAAAGATATCAATGAGTTTTGCATCATCTGAGCCTGGGGGGCTGTCAAAGAGGCCTAAAAAGAAAACAGAGTCAGTGCTACTGCTTTCAGAGAGGGGCGAGTGCCCCGGGCCTCGGACAACCAACTGCACTTTCTTCCCCCACTGAATTCTGCTGTCCCAACAGCTCAAAGCAGAGAGGAGAGCAGGGACCCATCGGTGGAGTCCGCCCACACTCTGAACAGCTCTCGGGCGGCTCACCTCACACTTTTAAATAAGCTAGCTTCACAGATGAGTGCTTCCCCTCAGCAGAGCACAGCCACATCCTTGGCACAAATGAAACTGGCCAGACCCATCATCCCCGGGACTATTGAAAACGAACAGGAGCTATTGTAGAAACAGCACAGCAGCCACGTAAGCGTAATGGGTTTGCTTCCAAGAAAGCTGACTTGTGAGACAGGTCCTCATGAACTCTCACGGTACCCTTTGAAACAGCCACTCATGTAGAGGCCCCATTTCATGGTGAGTCGCTGTGAAGCTTGTGCTGAATCAGCTCCTGGCTCCTGGCGCTCAGTCTGGATTTACTGCCCTAAGCATTATGTCCCTTTTATAACTCAGCAGAGTGATAGGAGTTAGAGTAACAAGAGATTTTATAAGCGTACAATTCAAGATGAAAAGCACACTATTTTGCTTAGAAAAAAAGCAAGTAGGAGCCTTGGGAGGGGAGCAGAAGGAGAGGCTTGAAGATATTAAGTCAACACCAAAGTGAGATACTGACGGCGAGAAACTCCTAAGTTGGGGTTGGTTCAAGGACAATTTGGGCAGGGATAGCCTACACTTGGTTTTAAGTCACCCTGTAATACACACATCCACTTCAATATCCTAAATCCTAATACAACCCTGCTGCACAAACCTCTCTGGGGGAGTACAGGAGTAAGGGGAGTGAGCAGGTTAGGGCCCAGGGCAGAACAAAGCAATGCAAACCAACACCAGCAATATAGGGAGAGGAAGAGGAACCTTAAGCCAGCACCAGCAGCTCCAATGCTAGGAGAGCACAGATCTGAATTCTGAAGTGGTTTCCATTTCACACAGTTATAGGGTGGACAACCCCAACCCCAAACCTCCTCAGACAGAGAGGTTCCCGGCGTGCTGACAGCGTCTACTACTCTTTCCCGCTTATAGCAGCGCTCCTCAAACCCACCGGGATCATGTTTCGAGCTCTCGTGTTACTCTAGAAACCAACATCCAGTAGCTCATTAATTAACTACAGTGCCATGCAAGCCTGCAATCACCAGCTTTGGCGTGAAAAGCTAAAATCCACCAGAATGTATTTCAAATGGGGGTTTTCCAAGTTATCTCTGCCTCACAGCCTTTCCCAGGCTGGATAGAGGAGGAGAGAAGGATGCTCATGGGCTTTAAACCCGGGCAGGTTTCGATTGGAAACAGCCTCCGTCAAGTATTCACTGGGCCTGCATGTACCATTTAGCCGCTCTGCCCTTTTCCTCTGCCCTAGGTTAGCTAGGCTAACCTGCTTTGCAGAGAGGCCAGGAGAACAAAATAAAGTGACGTTTACAAGGCACTTGGCACACTGCAGACAGCAGACATCTCAACTGAAATACCTTCTTTTTCAGGACAGCTCACACTTATCCCACCTCAGCTGTTCCTACTTCAACATTTCACACACTGGGTACTGAGATACTGACAAATAGACGTGATACCTGATTTATCTAGGGAGCTCTCTGCCCTTACTGCTTATGGCCAGCATATAAAATGGAGACCAAGTCTCGCCCCGGTAACCTGCCGAGGGTGTGGGCCGGGAACTAAGTTGAGACCTCCCAGGAATGTAATAGGACACTCTTTGGATCCTGGACGTGTGGTCGATTTACCGACATACCTAAATCATAGTCTTTATGTGTAAAACTGTGAATGGCAACGCCTTAAGAAGGGGAGTAAATGAAGTGGTGTCAAATTGTATCAGGAGCAAAGACTGAAGAAAATCAAAGATGCGTGGAAACAGCCCCAAAGACCAAGGCGCCATGTGAACCACAGCCTCTACTACCCTGAGACCAGAACTAGATGGCGCCTGGCTGCCACTGCCAATTGTTCTAAAAGGGACATTAGATGGTCTTGAGAAGTAACATATAGAACAAAATGCAAAATCCTAAAAGACCAGGCTTACAGATCTGATAGACTAGGGGAGCCCCTGAGATTATGGCGCTAAGATACCGTTCAGCCTGGAAATGAACTCACCAACCGTGGTTCAACTGTCAACGGAACAACAGACAGGCCTACAGGGTGACCACTAGCCCCGGGGCGGTATGCAGCCAACCATGCAAGATCGAAAGGGCAGAAGCTGCCAGGGGAAATGCTCCAAAGGCAGGAAGAACAGGCGAGGGGGAGAAATGGCCATGGGAACCACCGGAGGAAAGAGAAGGAGTGCTGTTACACGGAGGGGATTGCATGCGTACAAACGGAAAACCCCAACAACAACAATGAAGGACACTGGAGCCAAGCGGGGCGCCCCCATGAGGAAGTGAGCAGAGAGAACAGTCATATGTATAAGGGGGTTCAAAATGTTCCAGGAAAAATGCCATTAAAAGAATAAAAGAAAAAGAACAAAAATCATCCATGAGCTTTTTGAAGTTCCTTCTAATATAAGGCCATCCAGTCTAGATTTTCTGCCGTGGCTCCAATTTAAAATAATATGTCGTATGACGTACATTCAATACTGAAAGCGATCAAAACCTGAATTTAAAATCCAGAGAGGCAGAAAATAACAAGTGTTGACAAGATGTGGGGAGAATACAGTCCTCACACACACACTCAGTGGGAATGGGAACGGGGGCAGCCACATTGGAAGACGGTCTGGCCAAGCCTAGTGAGTTACTATAAACCAAGCCTAGCGAGTCACTATAAACCAAGCCTAGTGAGTCACTATAAACCAAGCCTAGTGAGT